TTGTGTATCATCTGTTTGAGAGGTGCTGACTTTTCTAAATCATAGGCTAATTATTTCAACTTAGAGTTTCACCTCTGGAAGACTGTCTGTTCCAACAGTAAAAATGGCATGTAAAGACCTCATGTAGATAGAAGAGGAAAGCCCATCAAAATACTGTCCCCACGATGCTAATGCCCTGCTCACACCCATCCCTTCATACTGTACATCTGAAGCATTTTAAATGCCAGAGATTGAAAGAACAGATGTTGTGCAGCCAGAAAAAGGAGAAGAGAAATTTCACCTGAGACTTTACACCAGTCTCCAAATAAAGAAATAAATTATTCTGTCAGTCTACAGTAGATAAGATAAAAACCAGCGGGCTAAATTGCAGCAAGTGATGGATAGGCCGGACAGTGGGAAAAACGTACTGCATGGATACTGAAGCTCTGGGACAGACTGTCTAAAGAAGCTGTGAAGTATTTGCTGCTGGAGGTTTTTAAATACCACTCAGACAAACGTCCATCAGGATGGGGGATAGATAAACTAGGCAACCTCTTAAAATCCCTTCCAGTTTTATTTTTTATGATTCTGTGAGTAGGCTTGTCATACTGAAATATTTCTCTGATTAGGGTCTGATGCTACCCCTTGTCTACTGTAAGGCTATTTATCCTTATGTTGTTAGAGGCCTATGATGATGAATAAAAGACAGATGACTAGTTTGCTCTCAGAAGCCAATTTTTCAGCTAGTCAGCATCTGAAGTTGCAGACAGATTTCCAACAGAGCTTACTTCTAGAAGTTCCCTTGTTTCAGATATAATGGGACTTTCTAGGTCAAGCATCCTGACATTTTCTACAAATACGCTTAAGTAAAGATCACCATCATGCTCAGACACATGACTGCGTTCCTGTAACTCACCTAGTTACAGAACAACATCTGAGGCAAATCCTCAACCTCATGTGGTGTCCACTGAGGTTTAAACTGAGAATTTTTACCAGCCACTTGCAGTGATGAGACAAGATAATGCGTGAGATCAGTTGTTAAGTCTGAGCTGTCATCTAGGAACTTGTTAAGTCACAGCACTGTGCTCAATGAATGACTTCAAAGATTAACTCACGTTGAAGAAAATATTTCAGGAATCCAGGCGCCTAACACTAACTGATACTGTTACTTAGGCTTCCACGTTAAGCCACTCGAGAGGCACGCTCAGAAGATGCTTGTTCACCTACAGTTATTCTTATGCTCTTAAAATGTTTGAATTAAGTGTCTAAATTGATTCTGAAAGTGGGACCTAGACTTTGAATTTAGCTGCTTTGGATTTAGGTGTCATTTAGGTGCTTTTGACAAAGTTATATTTAGCCCTTTTCAAAATCTTCAAGGGCACGCTTAACTGGACGCACCAACATAAACACTGCTGAAGAGGAATGGATGCGAGCATATATTCCTGGTTATATGTACTTTCAAACATACTTCTCATCTCTTTAACTATACCACAGCTAAATAAGACAAACTCTCTCAGAAATTTGATCCTATATGCACAGCTGTCCTGAAGGAATACCCAGAGCAGGATGCTGAGGGCAACGTAACTGTAAGTCAAAGAGAACAGCAAGAGCCGCCTGGAGTCTTAAACCACCCCAGAGAAAGTGAGGTACCAACACGGGTCCTAATACAGTTATTTCCTTATCCATCTAGTATTTATTTTGTTTAGTTTTATTTCTGTATTCCGTTTTTGTTCCTGAGTGCCCTGGTCTGTTGCTGATTTTAAACGATTTAATTCTGAACGTGAATTAGCATCTCCGATATCAAACACCTACGCAAACACCTTTGTGTCTTATTTGTGGTTTATTTTTTTTTTTTCAAATCAGGTGCTTAATTGTGGTGCTTATGGGATTGCAGGGTGCTTGGATTTTAATTGTATGAAGTTTGGGCAAAAGTGACTATAAAAGCATCAAAGAAAAATAATAGTTTGTAAGTGCATGTGAAAAGACACTGAGATTTACATAATGGCATTAGTCAGACACCCCTACTGTTTTATAGAGGGAAAAGTGCATGTGCACAATAAATAAATTACACTGTGCCATCAGTATGTTGCATCTAACTGCATTAGTGGCTCCATTTTTCCCCTCATGACTTAGGTAGGATGACATATTGGAAAACACATATTTCTTCATTATACTGTTTAAATGGTTTGATAAATCTGCTTATAGATGACAGAAACATTTTTTTATTGCTCCTACCAAGTTATTTATATTTAAAACAAATCTTTCATGTGTTTACACACAAGATCTCAAAATATTGAGAAAATGTTATTGTCATACTAAGCGCCATCTGCACCTTGGGTAGAACATGACCAAAATCTTGTTCTTTGACCTACTCTACCTTCAGGCTGCCTTGCTGTGTCCGCTTTTTGTAGTGCCCACTTTGTAAATCTACTCGGTTCAGGAAAGAGCGGTGTAAACCATCTCCTTCATGATGAGGGCATTTTGATCTATGTTTCAACAATTCATTGACAAAATGATTTTCTTGAAATGCTGTTAATATTTGGTGAGTTTCATTTTAATGTGGCAAAGTACCGGTTAGAAGTTGTTAAATTATTAAATCGATTTTTATAGAGACTGAACCTTGCTTTGAAAAGGAAGCCTACAGAAATTGGGTTGGTTTTGATGAAATTAATTAATATATTTGGCTTCCAGGGTTTTTTTAAATCCTCTTCCTCCACATTTTTCCTCGTGTTTGTGCTTTTTTATTTTAAAAAGGGTAAGAAGAGGAATGGCTTAAATATGGTAAAAAATGGGGAAAACCAAAAAATGGAACAATACTGAAAGTTTTCAAATAAAATTCCATGTATTTTCTTAATAATTTTTTTTTAAAATTAAGAAGCTTTAGAATTAACCTTTTCTGTAGTTTCAAAATTTTTAATATTTTAATTTTGGCCAGCTCACTTCTTTTCTCTGTTCAGTGCATGTATGTGTTGGCATACATGAGAAAATATAATATATGGGTATGTTTCCATTTGCAAAAGAAAAATAAAGCAAATTAAGGAATGCGTAACTGGAGGTCACAGACAGGGTATATTATGGACTTGATTTTGCAAGACACTGAGTGCCTGCAGCTCGCCTTGCACCGAGTGAATTTAAGGCGCTTGTGACATGACCTACTCTTTTTATTAGCTTAGTTGCAGTGGAAAAGGCAGAGCAGTAGCATCAGAAATGGAAAATGATGGCAGGAAAATTCTGGTTGTTGGTTCCATAGGGGTGATGGAAACAGCTGTTCTCAAAGGGTCTCTGCTGAGGAACATAGAAGTAATGTAGAGGAAGACAGCAAGAGCACAGGAAAATGAAGCTTTAAGAAAAATAGAAAATAATAATAATAAACAAAAGCACAAACTATTTCTGGAGCAATAACTGCCCCAAGAAAAAGTTATCGACCCAGATGAATCACATCTACGTTAAGGGGGCTACTTTAAAGGCATTTTATCAGACAAAGAGAAATAAGCATTTCTAGAGAGTGATTCAGTCCTTAGGCAGACTGCGCATCTCTCTTGTGAGGCATCTCAAAGCACGTGGTGAAATTCAGCTGGAATAAAGCTGGGCCATGGCGAGTGGGCACTATCGGACCGGTCCTTCCAACACTTTCTGCCTTAAGCTAGGCTGCTGGAAGTCTGGTACCCAGCTGAGCAAGGACTGGTGTTTCCGTCTGTCCTTCCAGCCATCCGTACCGCAGATATTTTGAGATCAGGCAGCTCTGAAGAAATAGGGGGGATCCGGCAGAAGAACTGCAAACCCCTCTAAAACCCTGTAAAAGACCCCAAAACTCCCTTTAGCCCCCAGAAGAATGACAATTTTACCACCTAACAACTGTTCGCCGCGTAGACGCGCGCTCCGAACACGCTCATTGCCGAGGGCTCCCTCCCGCTGCCGAGGGCATCTGTTTCGCCTGGTGATGGCCTGCAGAAAACGAGTGTCTTTATTTGCCTGAGCGCATACTATACTTCCCGCTGGTGTGTTCCCCATATATACTCTCTATACGGATCAGTGATCTCGGTGCCTTTTCAATAATTCAGCTTGTGTGCTCTGGCTGTGTCATCCTGGGGAAGGAGCCCAGCGCGGTGCCAAAGAGCTTCGCTTCCTATAGGAAGGAGGAGGAGGTACGTGTTATAGGTTTTCCTGGGTTTGCCGTGTATCTTTCACGTAAGCTTGCTTTTTGGGCGTATTTGCATCGGAAAGGTCCAGTCCCTCAGACAAAGGTCAAACGTTCTTCAGTGGGAACTTTCCCTGAAAGCAGACCGCAGCATCAAACTTTCCTGCGTGGAAAAAAAAAAAAAAAAAAAAGGCATCTTTTCTCACTGAAGTACCCAATGCACAGAAAAAAAAAATACTCAACGCACCGACGCGCGGTATTTTTTCCCTCTGCAACATTAACGCGGCAGGCAGACAGAAAAAAAAGGGGGGGGGTCGCTTCATCACAGCCCCCAGTTTTGAAGCTCATGAGGTTTCGTGCCGAGAAATTCGGTCCGAAGGGAGGATGGCAATTAAGGACATCGCTCGATGAGCGACCCCTTCCCCACCGCCATCACCCGCAGATTTTGGGCCTCACACACCTCCCCGGGGGCCCGTAAAACCCCCGACCCGCCCGTGTGTGTGTGTGTCCCCCACTCAGGGCAAACCACCATCTTGTTCAGCGCAGCCCCGGCGCAAAGCGCGTCCACGTGTGCGCGTCCGCGAGTGTGCAAAGGCGGGAGCGCGCAAGCGGGGCGGCCCCCGCCCGGCTGGTGCCATTTGGGAGCCGGGGCGTGGAGCGGGGGAGGGAGCGGGAGCGGGAACGGGGGGGGTCGGGTATTTCTCCGCAAGGCCGAAGGCTCCCGTTGTCTATCCGGGCTCCGCGCCGGCGAGGTTTTTTTTTTTTCGGTACCGGCGAATTACCTGCGGATCGGCATCCCTCCTCCTCCCTGCTTTTTTTTTAAATAGTT